GATATTTTCGAGTATATGCTTTGAGCTTCCCATGCTCTTTTACTGGTAGGTGTTCTTCCTTTCCCTTCTTTCATATTGATGGCCGTGTTTCTGTGTTTCTGAGTGTAGCACATCTTTAAGTATCTTTTGCAGGGCCGGACGAGTGGCCACAAAGTCTTTCAATTTCTGTTTGCTATGAAAGGTCTTTATTTCACCTTCATTCACAAATGAGAGCTTGGCAGGATATAATATTCTGGGCTGGCAATTTTTCTCTCTTAGCACCTGTGCTATGTCTCATTCCCTCCTAGCCTGTAGTGTTTCTGATGAGAAGTCTGCTGTGAGTCTGATTGGAGATCCTCTGAGAGTAATCTGACGTTTCTCTCTTGCACATTTTAGGATCTTTGCTTTATGTTTCACTGTGGTGAGTTTAATTACAACTGTGTTGTGGTGAGGATCCCTTTTGGTCATGTTTACTGGGGGTTCTATGAGCTTCCTGTACTAGGATGTCTCTGTCCTTCTCCAATCCCGGAAAGTTCTCTGCTAGTATCTCACTAAAAAGGCCTTCTAATCCTTTCTCTCTCTCCATGCCTTCAGGAACTCCTAGAACCCGAATGTTGGTTTTTTTAATAGTATCCTGTAGATTCCCAACAATATTTTTAGATTTCTAATTTCCTCTTCTTTTCTTTGGTTTGACTGTATCCTTTCCTGTTCTCTGTCTTCTAAGTCTGATATTCTCTCTTCTGCTTCACCCATTCTGTTTTTAAGGCTCTCTAATGTGTTTGTCATTTGATCTATTGAGCTCTTCATTTCATTTTGATTTCTCTTCACTATCACACTTTCCTGTTCTACTAGTTTCTGTGTTTCATTTTGATTCTTCCTTAAAATTTCATTTTCACGAGAGAGATTTTCAATCCTGTCCAATAAGGATTTCTGTAGTTCAAGGATTTGCTTTTGAAAACTTCTAATTGTTCTTATCATAAATTTTTTGAAATCCGTATCTTGCATTTCTTCTATCTCATCATCTTCATAATCTTGGTTTGGGGTGTTTTGTTTATTTGGAGGCATCATAATGTCATCGTTGATCTTGTTCCCTCGATTTCTGTGTTTATTGCTTGGCATGGTTAATTCTGTTTCCCTCACTGTGAGGTTTTTTTTATTATTATTATACTATGTCCGTGTTAAGTGGACTGCCTGCTGTTGGAGGAGCCTTGGAGGCTTGAGATGGGTGTGGCCTGAGAGCTCTGCTTGGTTCTTCAGGGTTACAGGTGTGCAAAGGTGACACCCTCAGGTTATGCGTGGTAAATCTCTCTTTATTTATTTATTCATTTATTTTATTTTATTTTATTTTTTGTTCAGGAGGTAAGTAATACTGCAAGACTGAGCAGAATGGATGGTATTTAGCTTCCGCTGGCTTCTACCCAAAGAGTCTGTGCAGGCTCAGTTTCTCCTGCGTACTCCCACTGGGTTGCGTAGGCTACTGAATTGTAGCCTTAACTCTCCCCTTTTATTATGTATATCCCTGCTCTTTGTCTCTTGCTTGCCTTTGCAAGGTTGGCGGAGAGTGGAACTTGTCTGTACCAGTATGCCTCCAACTATTTATTTATTTATTTATTTATTTATTTATTTTTCCTTCTCTCCTGTCGTCAGTCTGTTGGACTTTCCCGCTTCAAAACCCGCGTCCCTCAAAAATTCTGTCTGCCGTTTCCCCGCCAATGTCTCCAGTTACTGAGCTCACTTGCCCTTCCAGTGCCGATGTGTGGACTCGGAGCCCTGGGCGTCCCTCCTCTCCCCGCTGGTGTCTTTGTCACACAGACTCCCCTTCCTGCACTGGTGCTCAGACTCTGCGGCTCCCGCGGTTCGGCTTCCACGTGGTGGGCGACCTTGCTCTCCCAGTAGGTCCTTTGAGTCACAGCGAATAGCTCCAGAAGAGTTTCCTCTGCAATTTTTTTCCTGATCCTTTTTCTGAGGCTACCGTAACTCCGCTTTTATTAAACTAAATTTTCCCAGACTATCGGTGTGCGCCCTCACTATTCCGCCATCTTGGCTCCGCCCTGAGAATCGAAATATAGTAATTTTCAAGGTTATCCCTTAACCACTGCAGAGACATTAGGACAGCTTTGTCAGTGAAGTGAGATGAACAAAGCAAATTGGTATAACCCTCTCCTTGATACCCCAAATTTTCCTTCTCACATTTCTGGAGAGAGACAGGGATTCACCCTTGGTTTTCCATTTAGTGGTACCCAGACTTCACCTGCATTGGAGGAGGCTGAGAGAAAGTGAAGTGAGAAACCCACCTTGACCCCCGTCAGGCTGTTGTTGAGGTTTGCACTTAATCCAATCTGCCTCTCATTGTGGCCTTCTAAGAGTGCTGAAGAATGTGCCCTCTGCTCAGATTTCACTTTCATCTGTGTGAGTGATAGGTTATATGGAGTTCTCCATCTTGTCCCATCCAAGTGTTCCAGCTACTTTCATACATATTTACATTTCCTGCAGGACAAGATTTCCTCCTCTGAAAGGAGGAGGATGATCCACTGTGTCCATGCACCACCGTTTGTTTATTCCTTCATCCGTCAGTGGATGCCGAACTTGTTTCCATGTCTCAGTTGGTAGGGATAGTGCTGCAGAAAACATGGCAGCATATAGATGTTTCCATCCCAGTTTCAGTTCTTCTTGCGATTCGTCCAGAATCAGGATACTGGGTTGTTCTCAGTGAAATAAGGCAGTCAAAGGAGGGCCAGTCCTCTGTGATTCTACTTAGACACACAGGTGGTGTTCCAGCTGCCAATCTCATAGAAACAGAAGAGGGGTCTTGCTCTGAGCTGGGGATAGACATGGAGATTTGGTGTTCACCAGAAATAGTTTCAGATACATAGGAAATGAGCATCCTAAATATCTGCTCCTGAGCTTATATTTTCATTGACTATGTTGTCTAGATAGTGGATGTCGTGTTACCTTTTTGTCCCACAAAAATAAAAAAAAGTCAGACTGTTCCTGGACAGAGAATGATGATAGTCGATAATTGCAGGAGTACTACATTCAAATATCAAACTGTATGTTCAGGTGATTTCCAAGACAGAAATTTCAAATTATTTAAGAATTAAGAAATTAATAAATGTCTCATTAAATTTGTCATTTTCTTTTTTTTTTTTTTTGGACAGGCAGAGTTAGACAATGAGAGAGAGAGATAGAGAGATAGAGACAGAGAGAAAGGTCTTCCTTTTTCCTTTGGTTCACCCCCCATGTGGCCCCTATGGCCGGCACACTGCTGCTGGCGTTTTGCAAATCCGAAGCCAGGAGCCAGGTGCTTCCTCCTGGTCTCCCTTGAGGGTGCAGGGCCCAAGGACTTGGGCCATCTTCCACTGCACTCCTGGGTCACACAGAGAGCTGGACTGGAAGAGGAGCAACAGGGACAGAAACCGGTGCCCCAACCGGGACTAGAACCTGGGGTGCTGTCGCTGCAGGTGGAGGATTAGCCTAGTGAGCTGTGGCACTGGCAAATTTGTCATTTTCAATAAGTAATTATAAGCATACAAGATAAGATTTCTATGGTTATTGCCATTTGTACATGACTATACACACAAAAATGTACTAATGCTTTTCCAACCTGCAGTCCTCATGGAAGATGCTCACTCCTTCACGCTGCATGCATAAAAGAAGTCCTGACACTCTAGACAGTTCCTGGAAGCAGAAGGTGCTCAGCACAGGTGTGTTGTAGGGAGGGGCCATGTAGCCTGGTGTCCACATTGGAATACCTGGGTTCCATTCCCAGCTCCAGCTGCTGACCCCAGCTTCCTGCTGATGCAGACCCTAGGAGGCAGTGGTGATGGCTGAGTAATTGTTTGCTGCCTCCCACATGGGAGACCTGCTCCCAGGTCTCAGCATCAGTCCAGTCCCTGTCACTGTGGACATTGAGGAGAGAAACCAAGAGATGGGAGTTCTGTCTAGCTGTGTCTCTGTCTGTATCCCTCCAATAAATACTTTTTTTCTAAGAGAAACATGTGGTACCTCCTGCTCCCACTTCTGGGTTGTTTCCCTACCTGAATAAATGACAACTCCACCCATATCCCCCAGAAGTTTCTGGAAAAGCCCAGGGCTTTCTGAGGGCCCCAGTAGGAAATTTTCCACAACAGACCCTTGCAGTATGAGCAGTGCTCTCAGGAGGAAGCTGTGGTGATTGAGAGTGGTTATGGCAGGAAAGGCTCAAGCATGGCCGTGGGTCCCACTCAGCCTGATCCCACAGAGGCTCTGATGTGCCACTGGGACCACGTGACACGTTCTTGAGCCTGGGGGGTCTCTCGGGTTTCTCTTCCCCATCAGTCTCAGGTTGGCTGTGGGGGAGATCCTGACCCAGTTCTCTGAAGGTTCCTCCAGCTCCTTCCCTAGCTGGTGGCTGAGTCTCCTGTGGAGTTCCTGTTGCCTGGCCAGACCCCTCAGGTGCCTGCCTCCTGGCAGTCCCTTTGTGAGACAGTTTCTTTCCTGGGTTTCTCTGTTCCCCTTTGCCTCTGAAGCTGCCATGGAGTGAGGACTCAAGGCAGCCACTGAATTTCAAAGCCCATGAATCCAGTAGCTCTGAAGCATTGTGTGCCCTGTGAGCTGTCCAGATCACCAGGGGTGATGGGAATGGAGGCAGGCAGGCAGGAGCTGAGCAGGGAAGAGGAGGTGGGTACTTTCCAGGGGGCAGGGGCCAGGGGCAGAGGAGGTTCAGGCTGAGGAAAGAAGGCATGGGGTAGGAGGATGCAGAGGTCAGTCAAGGACGTCTCCACCCAAGAGAGAGGCAAGGAGTGGGGGGCCCTCTCCTGGGAGGAGGAAGGGGAGAAAGGAGAGGTCAGAGGCCCTGATGTCAGTGACCAAACTTCTCCTTCCTGGGGTGTTTCCTGTGTGACGTCCTCAGAAGACCCCGAGTCTCGCCCCTTGGGCTGCCTCCTCACTGGGTGTGGGAAACTCCCCCAACCAGAGAACTCCAGGGAGGTTGCAGATTAAATAAGAGACTAAAAAAATGAGACCAAGCAGGATGTCTGATTGACAATGAAGATGTTTATTGAGAGTTTATTGGATGCAGGGGTGGGGAGGGCCAGGATATCAGGGAAGGGGTGGAAGGAGAAGCCCTTTCCTGGGGTCCTGCAGCTTCCAGACCCCATAGGTGGATGAGAGTTGGTCCCTAAGGACAGTGTGCAGGGGCCACGCTCTTCTCCGTGGTTTTCCCCTCATGGGTGACCTGGCAAATGAAGCGGCTATGTGATGTCCACTGTCCATGTGACAGGCTGAGGACGTTCTGGCCATGTACTTGTTGCTGTTTGGAGGGCTGGGTGGTGTCCACACCCTGGGTGATGGTGACTCCATCTGCCTTCCAGGCTACCGTCACTGTGCCTGGGTAGAAGTCACTGATCAGACACACCAGGGTGGCCTTGAGCTCCTCTGAGGAGGGCAGAAACAGAGTGACCAAGGGGGTGACCACAGGCTGACCTGCAGGGACAGAGGGATGTGACATAGCAGAGATGGGTCTGGGTGTTGGGGAGCTCTCTCACAATGCAACCATCTGTCCCCATCCTCCCCCAACCCCCGCCAGGGACCATGCTCCTTTCTCTTCCCCTCCTGCCCATCAGCTGCCTAGGGAACAAACAGTCCTGCCCCCTCCCAAAGCCCTTCCAAGTCTCTCCCAGGTGAGTTGACCCTGCTCATCCCCTCTGCAGCCTCAGCTTCCCCTTCATAACTGGGCAGCCTTGTTCCTCTCCGGTCCCCAGAGGATGAGATTGGAATCTGGCCCTGACCTGCTGAACCCCAGCCCCAGCCAAGGCCTCCACTTCATTCTTTCAGTGCCTGGAGACTCCTCTGAACAAAGGTCCCACCCTCCCAGCAGCACAGTCAGGGCTGTGTGGGGACGGCCCCAGCCTGTGCTCATCATGTGAGGGAGGGTCCTGAAGCCTCCTGCCCCCTCAGGCTCTGTCCCAGTGAGGCCCCCCTCCCCCCCCAGTGACTCACTTTTGCTTTGGCTCCTGGGAATGCTCCCCAAACCAGGGCAGAGTGACCCCCATGGCTGCCCCAGCAGCCTCTCATTCCACCCAGCAGCCAGAGCTTCTCTGAGCTGCCCTCTGCTCCCCCTTCCTGGGCCACTGGGTCTACTGTGCCCTTCAGGGAAGGCAGGAGGCCAGGCCATGGTCAGGGGAGACATGGACCCCAGGGGCTCCAGATCTGGTCCTTTGTGACTAGCCCTGGGCTCTGGTCACCTCACCCAGTCTGTCCTGTCCCTCAGTGTCCCTGTGTCCTCGTGGCCCAGCAGAGGCTCAGATAGCACAGCCTAGCAAGAGTCAGAGCCCTTTCCACCCTCTGCTGGCCCCCCCTCAGAGGGATCCTGTGCCTCTGGGTGCTGGGGTCACAGCCCCGGCCATGCCCCTGGGCCTCCTGGGTGCTTCTCCCAGCCTAGATGGACCTCAGGCCCTCAACCCAGACCCTGGAGAGTCAGGGGCTGTCTCTAATGCCTGCTAGAACCTCTGATCAGAACCAGTCTCTGCCCTTTCTCAGGGACCTGCCTTAGAAGAGGGAAGGAGCCCCTGTCCCTGAGCAACCCCTCGCCCAGGTCCCCAGACCTGGCCGTGTCCGAGTGTTGGGATAGGAAGGCTCCTGCTGCTGGGATCCTTTCTGTGAGCTGTCCTGAGACCACCTACCTCTCCCAGAACCCATGGTGAAAGGCAAGGACCCTAAAGCTGGAATGGGAAGAAGGGCAAAGCCCCCAGGGAGAGAAAACAGACTTTGCACAGACAGCAGTAGGTGGGATGGCAGGGAGAGGCTTGGAGAGCCACTTACATGTGACTGAGAGCTGGGTCCCACTGCCAAAGATATACCACCATGACTGAGACTCAGACCAAAACCCGTGGGGCCAGCACCTGGGGCCTGCCTCTTGGGGGCCGGGCTGGAGCAGCAACCTGTGGGGATTACAGGCACAGGCTCAGCAGGCAGGGCTGCATTCTCGGCACAGTGCAGGTGGCTGGCCAGCCCCCCTCCCCTGAGTTCTGTCACCCTGTCCAAGGCAGCCTTGGAGTGACCCCAGTGTGTCCTTCCTGCAAACTGTGTTGACTGTGCAGCTGTACACAGCAGGAGCTCAGAAAATCACAGTGATGTATCCCTCTCAGTTGACCAAGGGATGTGGCCTTATTTTAGGGTCTGTAAGTTTTCTCATATCCCTAGACCTAAGGACACAGGGCCATGTCTGACTCAAAGCATTTATGGAGACACCCCTGCTTTGGTGTCTGCTCATGGAGATGCAGATCCACCCCACCTCATCCTTGAAGCCTCCTCAGACCATACTTTGCAGCTGTTGATTGCTCTGTGCCCAGGACGTCCATCCATTTGTCCAGCATCTGTGTATTCATGCAGCCACCCTTCATCCACTTGTCCATGCATCTGCTTAAATGTCTACATGTTTAGTCATCTGTCCTTCCATCCACCTGTCATCTGTACATCCATGCTGCCTGCACCAGGCACTGTCTTCTCACCCTGGAGACAGGGCAATGGCCCCCGGCTCTCATCTCTGTTTCTTTCTGAAATATCTCAGGTCAAGGTCAAGAAAGTCCTTGTCAGGGTCAAGTCTGAGGTTCCTCTCCAGTTCTCTCCAGGATGCGACACAGGGTCTGCCCCTTTTCTAGTGCTTCTCTTCCCCTTGGTATCTGAGACTACCCACTCTTCTCCTCCCTGGCTTCCCGTTCTCTCAAGCCCCTGCCCCCTGGGTCCCAGACCACCACCCTGGGTCCTCCTCTGCCATCTTGCCGTGCTGTGGACCCCCACTCTGCCTGTGTGGTGAGATCTAGTCTCTCCCAGCTGCAGGCCCCTCCTCAGCTCCTCCTAAATTGCCTACTGCCCATCTCCACCTGGAAAGCGGTGAATGCTCTCATTCAAACTTGGCCACCTGCCCCACTCAGGTCTTTGTCTTCCTCTGGTTATAGGGCACTCACTTTGGGGGGATCCTGGGGTCACCTTAGACTGAGTCACCTCACCTCCAGAATGAAATGGTTTCTATGTCTGAGACGGTTGCATCTGAGCATTCCTCACTAAGTTAAAACAGGCACAGAATCATTAAAAAACAACAAACTTGCCTTCTGTTATCCCAAAACCACAAGAAGCCTGGGGCATTACCTTTGCTGTTTCACACAGGAATACAGCATTGAGTTATTGGGGACATCAGATTAGTTGTGTTCCAGCTTAGACGATGGGCCAGTGAGAGGTGGTTGGTTTTGTAATGAAAATGGAAGGCTTTTCTGGGGCTGTTAAGAAAAATCTTTAAACTTATAAGAATATAACATAATAAAATTAAGCACTATAGAAATGTATTTTTTTTTTATTTTATTTTTTTTTGACAGGCAGAGTGGACAGTGAGAGAGAGAGACAGAGAGAAAGGTCTTCCTTTTGCCGTTGGTTCACCCTCCAACGGCCGCCGCGGCCAGCGCGATGCGGCCGGCGCACCGCGCTGATCCGATGGCAGGAGCCAGGAGCCAGGTGCTTTTCCTGGTCTCCCATGGGGTGCAGGGCCCAAGCACCTGGGCCATCCTCCACTGCACTCCCTGGCCACAGCAGAGGGCTGGCCTGGAAGAGGGGCAACCGGGACAGAATCCGGTGCCCCGACCGGGACTAGAACCCGGTGTGCCGGCGCCGCAAGGCGGAGGATTAGCCTAGTGAGCCGCGGCGCCGGCTCTAGAAATGTATTTTTAAAGGGCAATACATATTTATCTCTCCATCTCTCTCCTATTATATAATGCTATTTCTACTTTTTAATTATAGTAAAATATACAGAGCATAAAATGTACTCTTTTGCCCATTTTTTAAAAGTGCAGGTCAGTGGCATTAGGTACATTCACACTGTTGTGCAACTGTTACCACCATCTGCCTCCAGAATTTTTCCATCTTCCCAAACAGGAAGTCTGCATCTATTAAACAATAACTTCCCATTCCTCTTCCTCTAGCCCTGGTACCTCTACTTTATTTTCTGCCTCCATAACTTGTCTACTCAGGGAACTCAAGTAAGTGCAGTCATACAGTATTTGTCTTTTTGTGTGTGTCTCATTTCTTTTAGCATAGTGTCTTCAAGTTTTATCCATATTATAGCAGATTTTTGACATTTTTAGTATCTATTCATGAAATTGTTTATTAAGTGATATAACACTTAACAAGTTACAACCTATTTAAAAATAATACAAAATCAATTTCTCAAAGGCACAGAAACACCTTCCTTCTGTTCATTGGTTCACTCCCCAAGACATGGCCACTGTTGTAGTCCAGACTCATGATCTAAAGAACAGAACGGTGTTCAATGCACCACACACAGCACCCCACAGGCTTCTCCCTCCCTCCCTCCTTCTCTCTCACACACACATGCACACACGCACACATGCACACACATTCTTATCAATTCTGCCTGCCCTTCCCCAGCTGTATTAAAGTAGGATCCAAACTCAAGTAATATGTATTTACAGTATACAGTGCCATGTTCTGATACATTCAGACATTGTGGAGTGATTACATCAAGGAAGTCACATATCCATCATGCCCCAGAAACCTTGGGCCTCACTGAAGTCTCCGTGCTGTGCAGTAGCTCTCGCAAACTCATTATCATGGATTTCATCCAGGGGCCAGTAGGGGAGTCACCACTGGGAGCACAGGCCAGGCCCCTTCACCCTCTTCCTAGGCTGAGCCCCTGGGCCCTGGGACCCTGTACTTTGGTATCGGGTGGGTGGCAGGCAGTGAGGAGGGGGGCCAGGAGTGACCTCGCAGGCCACTGGAAATCTCCAAGCTCCCTGTCTTCCCCTGGAGGTGAGATTGGAAGTGCTGCCAGTTCTGCTCACTCCCCAGGACCATGGTTGGTGGTGCAATACAATGGATGTAAAAGTGGGCTTTTTGTCAGCAAGTTTTCCTAAGTTTCTTTCTCAATTGTGATCAAGCATAGGTGACAAAATTTCCATCCTGACCATTTTGTTAAAGATTTATTTATTTATTTACAATAAATTCAAGAGTTAATTCAGAGTTACACAGAGAGAAGGAGAGGCAGAGAGAGAGAGAGACGTCTTCCATCTGCTGGTTTACACCCCAAGTGACTCTGATGGCTTGAACTGGGCCAATCCAAAGCCAAGAGCCTGGAGCTTCTTCCAGGTCTCCCACATGGATGAAGGGGGGGTCCAAGGACCTGGGCAATCTTCTACTGCCTTCCCAGGCCACAGCAGAGACCTGAATTGGAAATGGAGCAGACAGGACTTGAACCTGTGCCTGTATGGGATGCCGGCACTGCAGGTGGTGGCTTTACCCACTACACCACAGCCCTGGCCCCCACTGACCATTTTTTAATATTTATTTATTTTAGAGGCAGAGAGAGAGAGAGAGAGAGAGAGAAATAAAGTGAGATTTTTTTCCACCTGCTGTTCACTCCCCAAATGGCTGCAACAGCCAGGACTGGACTAGGTCAAAGCCAAGAACTAGGAACTCCATCTGCACAGGTCTCCAACAGGGTGGCAGGGGCCCAAGCACTTGGACCATCTTCTGCTGCTTTTCCAGGTGCATTAGCAGGAAGTTGGATAGGAAGTGGAGCAGCTGGGACTCGATCCAGGGCTCACATGGGATGCCAGTGTCACAGGTAGGTGGATGCTTAACCACCTGTGCCATAACAATGACCCCAGCACCCAATATCTTTAGCCATCTTCACTGGCAGGAAGCTGAAATCAGGAGCCAGAGCCAGGTGTTGAATCCAGGTTTTCCAATGGGGGATGCAGGTGTCTGCCCCACTAAGCTAAACGCCTGCCTCCTAACTGGGAATATTCCAGAGGAAAATCTTTTGTAGAACACTGTCCTGGCACCTTTCTCTGAAGGGAGGAGGGAACCTCCACTGTGATATGGCCTTCACTAAACAAGTTCAGAGTTGGTGAACTCAAGGGACTTCCATAGCCTAGACAGCTCATAGCAAGAGTCTTGGGTGATTGCTGATGTCATAAATAAGAGTGCCAACTGTTAAATCAACAACGGGAGTCACTGGGTACATGCTCCCCATATAGGATCTCTGTCCTTAATGTGTTTTACTATGAAACTTAAAGACAACACTACTAGTCGAACAATACCCTATACCTTGTATGGTTGTGTGAGTGCAGCCTGTTGAAATCTTTGCTTAGTATATACTAAGTTGATGTTCTGTATATGAAGGTAATTGAAAATGAAACTCAATGAAGGGCAGGATGGGAAGAGGGAGTGAGAGGGGAGGGCCAAGGGAGGGAGGGAGGGAGGTTGGGGGGGAGAAGCCACAATAATACAAAAGTTGCACTTTGTAAATTCACATTCATTAAATAAAAAAAAGGAAACGGCAAAAAAAAAAAAAAAAAACACACTGTCCTGGGACAGGCTAGCTCAGTTACCCTTAAGAGTCCAAACTGGTTGCAGATCCACTCTTGTATGAGCAAAAAGTTCACGGGAAAATGCAATTAAAAGGTAAGTTTATTGTGACATACACACAAACACACACAAAATCACTGAAGCCCAAGCAGTTTTTCCTATGAAGCTTTTTTCATGAATTTTGTGAGGCTCCCTTGGGTGAATGGGTTTCAGGGTGGTTTTGTTGTTTTTCGCACCGGAATAAACTTACCTTTGAGTTTCACTTTCCAAGGGCTTTTTTTTTTTTTTTTTTTTTTGGACAGGCAGAGTAGACAGAGACAGAGAGAAAGGTCTTCCTTTGCCGTTGGTTCACCCTCCAATGGCCGCCGTGGCTGGTGCGCTGCGGTTGGTGCACCATGCTGATCCGATGGCAGGAGCCAGGTGCTTCTCCTGGTCTCCCATGGGGTGCAGGGCCCTAGCACTTGGGCCATCCTCCACTGCACTCCCGGGGCACAGCAGAGAGCTGGCCTGGAAGAGGGGCAACCGGGACAGAATCCGGCACCCCGACCGGGATTAGAACCCGGTGTGCCGGCGCCGCAAGGCAGAGGATTAGCCTAGTGAGCCGCGGCACTGGCCCAAGGACTTTCTGAAGTGCCCTTGTATTTTACCATTGACTGATCTGGAGTGCATCCTTGAGACTCCCACCACTTGAGGTTCTGTCTGTCCCCGTCCACTCAGGCCAATGCTGTCCCAAAGGCTCATCCGTCCCTTTGAAGCTCTCCCCAGCCCCCACACCCAGAATGAATTCTGTGCATCCCACATGCCCCTAGTGGGGCAGCCATCCCAGATATCCCCTGGCTCATGTCCAGCCATGACCACTGGATGCTGTAACAGAAAAACTCCCTGTTAACCACATGTGGATCCTGAGGACCACAAGGAAAGTCAGAACCCATGGGCTGATGGGACTGTGCTTGGATCCCTGTGTCCCACAAACCCTGAGGGCCAGGCATTGCATCCTGGAGGGTTTGCGGTCATCAGTGAGATGGGCAAGGTACTG